AAAATGAGTAGATTATAAATACTTTAGAATTTTATCCTGACACAGTATTTCAACTTATTTTATACCTTTTGTTTTCTATAGAGGTCCAAATTTTTTATCCAATTTGTCCACCTATTTTGTGTATAAGTCAGACGGGAACTTACTGATTTAATTCCTATATCTTTATCAAAATGAAAACAAAGTAAAAATGTCTTTAAAACATATACATCTCGGGACCACAGCAACCAATAGTTTTGTTTTTTTTAACTGGGGTGGGGGAGTAATCGATACAATAAGACTTACCTCATTTTTCTGAGTTTTCTTGCATGTATACGATGTGTTTGTACGAAAAGCCATATTTATTGGGTACGGTGATACTTACGTTAAGATTTAATTTTTAGAAATAACGAAACCACGTTTTTCAATAACAAAAAAAAAAAAACAAACTCAAACGCTCGTTATATTGTACGATATTATTCAGCAAACTTTGCAACAACTGTGTTTGACTTCCTGTTGTTATGCTGCGTATTCAGTCAGCATTAATTAAAAACCCTAAACTCAAGACAACCGAGTCGCACGAGATCAACTAACAAATGAAACTCGTTTCCCAATACGGTCTTTATGAACAATGTTATATCACCCTTCAATGTGTCTCATTACCGTAACTGTCGCATTACTTGCGTTCAAGAGTTCAGCTTCACAATACTGCACCGTAATGTATTTGGTTAACACCTACGGCTATCCTACACGCAGTGAAGCTTACTTGCAGGGGAATTGAGCAGTTGTCACAAAATAATGATGGAAACATGATGTTCGTTTCAAAAATAAATAACAACAATAATCAGAACATTAGATAAATAATAACGAATGAAAACTAATTAAACCGGAAAGCAACGAGAATAAATATAACAAACTACTTTAAACATAGTTTCTTCTACCTCAGACAGCGCCCCCACACAGCATGGGTGGAAATGTGCCAACTTTGATTCTATGTTATGCGAAAATATATTATTAATGTTACGTGGAAGACAATAATATAAGTGTTGATTTTTTAGTCTTATTTTCTTTAAATTTTAAGAAATATACGTAATATACACGCATACTTAAATAAAAAAAGATCCCGTTTCACAAACAAATTCTGAGGCACAACATTTAATAAGTGCCCAAAACTTAAATCCACTTATATTCGCATAGCATCGGGTTGAATTTGGTAGTATTTGAGAAATATTGACACAGAAGCTCCACAACCGGCTTACTTTTTCGGATACATCACACAGCAACTGTAACCCTAAAACAGCTAGTTTAACTTACACTGCACCTATTAGTTACAGTAAATGCAGGAATTTTACAATTAACTTTCGTTTTATTCATTCGAGTTTTAAATGCAAGAAAACATTTTATTGGAACACTCACGTAAAACTGTCAAAAGTATATAAATAATAACCACGTAAATATGACGTTTAAAATAAAATTAAGGTACATATACAATAACTTTATTTTTTATAGAAAACCAGTTGATTTTGTTTGTTTGTTTGTAATTAAGCACAAAGCTACACAATGGGTATCGAAACCCGGATTCTAGCGTTCTAAGTCCGCAGACATTCCGCTGTGCCACTGGGGGGGGGGGGCAAACCAGTTGATTTTGTTTGTTTGTTTGTAATTAAGCACAAAGCTACACAATGGGCTATCTGTGCTCTGCCCAACACAGGTATCGAAACCCGGATTCTAGCATTGTAAGTCCGCAGACATACCGCTGTGCCACTGGGGGGGGCAAACCAGTTGATGTTCAAAATTCCAAAAGAATTTCCCAACGTACTTTTTAGTACTATATGTATATATGGTCACTATTAAAAAAACAGGTGGGAAAAATTAAACAGGAGAGAACATTAGGCAGGAAAAGGAAGAAAAAAAATAGTAAAAGTGAAAACCAGAAAGCAATGAATATATATATATGTGATATTGTTCTTTCAACACAGTTTCTTCTATCTCAACACCAACAGTAACTCCCTGTATGTCTGCCACAAGACACAATAATAATTTTACATCCCATTAAGCAGATGCCATACATGTGGAAGTTGGGATCATATTTGGATAAGAAAATTCTAAAGCTCTTGCCCAATCCTAGATTGCACTGCATGGACTGTTATTGCTCCCTGTAGCATGTCCAATAAGATTCACACCAGGAGATCTTGCTGGCCAATCCATCTTTTCGATCCTTACTTGATCCATACTTGCCGTAGTGGGAATGGTCACAGTTCAGAGTGAAGTTTGGCCTGACTGCATCAGCTTAAGATTTCACTATCAAATGGAGAATCTCATCTTGGAATCTTAACTGCAAAGAGGGTGCTATTCTAGATGACATGCAAGTCTGTCCTTACTGTATACTGATTACAGTCCAAACTGTGACAAATCATCCTCCATATCTATATACTGACCTTTCTGAAGGGTTGTGAATCTCATGTGCTTCCAACCGTGTTGTCTCCTCAACTTACCACTGGTTTGGTACTGATATCATATATTGCTCTACGTTCGCTATGGAACCTAGGACATCCTTTAATTTCATGTTCTCAATTATCAAATGTGTCTCAAAGTCTTGTCTCCCCCTGATTAATGGAGTGTCACTGTGTCTTATGACAAACCATATACGGTACTTACTGATCATATGCCAACAAACAGGGAGTGACTTTTTACAAAAAATTCATGACTTTGAATTTTCACAAACATTTTTAGTGAGAAGGCACTTTCTACTGCTACAAACTTGTTTCACAAAGCTACACAATGGGCTATTTGCAACTCCTAACTTTGTACTGATAAACTACAGTGAAGACAGCTAGTCAACAACACTTATCAACTTTCTGACTGGACTGTGGATTTGACCATCACTCTTGTTGTGCACCATGGTACCAAAGTGTAGAATGTGTTTCTGTAGCAAGGTGATGTGAACAATGAACCCTTAGATCCACAGCTCATGCACACTAACCACCAGACCAAGCCTGGTCCCTAATTTGAATACTAAACCACAAAACTTTAGCAGAATTTATAATTGATCTTTCCATATACATACACACACACACACTGCAAATTCGAAAGTATGGTTCACACTAGGCCACACCCAGCCTCGTAATCAGTCTTATAGATGACTATACGAACCTTCATTATTTTGCATCATTTTCCATGGGTTAAATTGTTTATTATAACACAATTAGTCAATCATGAAATGGCACAGTATGAAACTCCCCCTTTGATGGAAATCTTGATCCTCAACAAAAGTTGAATATTATGATACACGCTCTGTTAGGAATTAAAAATTAAATTTTTGGGATACTCCAAACAAAAATCCAACTCGTGTAAAATGACTGTCACTTTTATAATGCGTCCACAGGTAAAAGTGCGAGCCAAGACTTGGATTACCTGATCTAAATCCAGCCGCACTAACTAATAGGCAACATCTGGCTCATCAAGTTACTGATTGGATTTCTAAGTAATTGGTAAACAAGGCGATTTATTCTTAAGTTGAAATAAAAATGGTAAACCTGCATAATATAAAAATTGACAAAAATGAAAACTATGTAGGTTTACCATGAAGTACAGGACAATCAAAAAACTTGGTATAGCTTGATTACCACAACCTTACTTTAGTGTTCTTAAAAGGTAATTTGTTTTTATCAAACATGTAACTAAACATAATAATGTAGCTATAATTGACTATTCCCATCAATCCAAACTTTACATAGAATTTGGGCATTCTTTCTATATACCTGCTACAAGAGGGCAGTTACAAACAGTTGCAAAAAGCATGTATCATCTTCCATATTAGCTATCGCTTAATGTTAATCAAGTTATTATACTTTTTTTCATACAATTTTACTGCTTTACCATATCTGTTTTCTTGGAATAAAAAATAATATTGTCTTATTTCAAGTGATGATCAGACTTGTACTCAATATTTTTGGTTATAAAAAACACATGTTCTTGAAACATTCTACAAATAATCTCTCGTATTATACAAAAAACAAAACAGATTAGTATACAAAGTACCTCAAAATAACTCCTTATATGAAATAAGCTTAAGGAAGAGATAAAAAAAAATCTTTATCAGAAGTTTTACTTCACTTGTAATACTGTCCTATTTAAATCCACACATTTTTATCTACAGTTTGTTGAAAGCTTTTTTTTTTTGCTAGTCCTAGTGCCCATGTCGATCCTTGTTTTTTTTGTTTGTTTTTTTCCAATGTTAAACATATCTTTATGAACTGATTGTATGAATATTTTGTGTTGGAAAGGGCATTTACATACCCCTTTTCAAAAGCTGTAAATTTTCTGTGGCCAAACAATGTCAAAATGTAATTCTGGTACATTCTGTTTAATCACGACCTTGTATCAACTGTGGTTAATATAAAGTACTCAAACATCTGTACAAGATAATGATCTTCCACAGCTGTGGTAAGGAAAGTGCAGTCTTGTAACGAGTTACAATCCACTGACACAAAGGTCAGTGGCAAAAGGCATTCACATGCTGCTAGCAATAGTATGCTACATAATCAAAAAGGATCTTTGCCAGGAAAAGCAAAACAAGTCATGTATATGCAAGTTGCTTTCACAACGTATCTGTTCAACTGTTGCATACCTCAGGCAGTTGTACAATAAAGTGAGTATTCATGCTATTCCATATGAAGATATACCAGTCAAGTCACCTGATGCAGCATCTATGGATTTCTGTGCCATCAGACTGTTGAAATGGTGATGGGAAACCACTGCCCTCAAACACTAAATGGCTTATGGAAAGCAAGCAGTGTACTTTGGACATGAAAGCTTTATGACCGAGTAATTTGCAATAAAATGCAGGATTATTGTCAAAATAACTTACATAACACTGGAATATACAAGAGTAAACAGAGTTAAACATTCAGGGAGATTAATATTCATTTCTTTTTATTCTGGCAGTCACTTTTGCAACAGTATTGATTTATTCAAAATATAATACCACTAAAGATTGTACAAAGAGAAATGTTATAACTTACATTTCTAGGATTGTTGATTGTTGGTTTACAAGCATTGACAGTTCTAGTATTTTGTGTCCTCTCGTTATTTTCATTTGTGTTAACCTACAGTCACAAAAAAATAACAAAAGTTATCGGATTCATTGTCTTTCAATACATTTACAAATGTTAAAATAATAGCTATTATGTATACAAATCATGCTACTTTAACCTTGTAAGTAAAACAAGTTAAATATTACAAAATATATAACTATTTCAACATCTATCTATACATACATGCATCATAGATAGCAATTTGTATGCTAGTTACTGAGAAAGTGCTTCTCTATAAATTTAATAAGTGGGAGAGTAGTAAGTCTTTGGATTTACAATGCTAAAATCAGGGGATTGATTCATATTGGTGGACATAGCAGATAGCCTGATGTGGCTTTGCTATAACAAAACACACACACTCTTTCTGTCAGTTATTTTGTTCTTATATATTTTAGGTGGGACTGAGAGAAAGAAATAGCATACAATTGCATGTACAAAAAATATATAAAATGTAGGTAAATCTCTTTTCTTAACCATTATATACCTTGTCACAAAAATTTAGATTAATTTATAAATAATTTAACACTATTTTCTTCTGTAAGAACTACATTAAACACTATTTTTGTCAATGATATGCAATTATATTAACACAGGCAGTGCACTGTGTTAGGTTTATTTTGAATTTAAAGTTATAAAAAATCAAATAAGAAATACATTCAATACTACAGTTAACTGGAAGCATCAAATATTTTGAGATGTAAAAGTGCATTAACAAAAGAAGTTTAGTTAATGATTTAAACAACAAAAAAGTATTTTATGATAGTCAATAATTGTTATTTTCAAATGTGAAATCTATTTAACTTCCTGAATGGCTTTAAAAAACAATAGTGAATACTACTACTACTATTAAGTTAAATACAGATAGAAAATACTGATACTGTAACTTGTGAATATCCTAAATGTTTTAATGTGTCCGAAACTTTGTTTCTAAATTTATGATTTATCACTGACTGAAATCTACATAACAAGTTATCTTAAAATGTATTTAAAATACTTAAGTGAGACTTAAATATTTCTTTTTATTTAAGCGCAGAGGAACTAGAAAGTGGTTGAAATAATTATTGACTGGGAAATAAACTGGTAAAATTAGGCCATTTTGATAGTGGAATAAAAGTCCAAAAATGAGAACTTAAGATATACTTGGAGTAATAAATAGAAGATTTGGTAACCCTTTTACATTAAGTAAAACAAACTTTTGCTGGATAGTCATATGGAAAAGACTACATTAAAAATGAGCTGGTTGGTTTGGTGCAATGTTTGGGAAGTTGAAGAGGTGACCTCCAAAGGGTAAAGAGTATTAATTATTATGGTATAATATAATGGTTTACAATGATAAAGCATAATCTATATACTCCAAGTCTGCATGACATTACTTGCAGTAATAGTTTTCTATGTTCTTTCTTGTTCTTACAAACTTAATAATTTGAAATGATTGTTTTACATCCAAAATTTCTACTTTTATCAAATAACAGAACAAAAATATAAAACTTTTCTTTTAATTTTCCACACTTTTAGAAACTTCAAAACAAGCAGAATGCAATTTTCCTAATATCATCTTAACTAAGAAAGGTTCTTTAAATCATGTCATTCATACCAATAAATCATTATGTGGTTTAAATACTGATATATACAATAACTAACCTTTGTAGCCACATATTTATGGTCTTTACTATCATCTGTGTTATCTTCTTTCTGCTTTGCACTTTCTGTTCTAGTTAAAATAGGTTGACTGTCATCATTTATTGCCTTCTGAGAAACTGATTGGAGGGTATCCTCAGAAGAAATTGTGTCTCCTCCATCCCTAACCATGTCCTTGTGGTATGCACTTTTATCAACTGCATTTATTTGGAGTTCTGTGACCATTTCTTTCTGTTCGTCCTAAAAAATAAAGGTAAAAATATATTACATGTTTTATGTGTTCTGATCCCAGTAAAACTAGCAAATGCTTTTAAAAAAAAGGTGGCAAAGTCCAAAACAATTTACGAAATGTTGGCTTTTAATTTGCAAAAAAAAAAAAACAGTTCATCAAGTCTGGAAAAATTAACAAGTATTAGATCAGCATATTTGTTCTTGTTCTATGCACTATTAATCACACGCATGTATACATATACCAGTTTCACTTGCTATATTTCCCATCTATACATCTCCACATAACGCGCTTCTATAAAATTTGGATTCGGATACAACTCTTAGTGTTTAGACCTCACTTTTACAAACGGAGAAGCTTTAAACGGAGGCAGTTTCTTGGTTTGGTCATATCCCAAAAAAAAGTCGTTAAAGAAAAAAACACAAAAGATATATATATTTCCGAGATCGTTTGATTACTTTTAAATAACAAAGTAGCAAAATAGAAAGCCAATGTAAAATTAGTTTAATGCGTATTTACGAATATAAGATAAATAAACTGCACCAGCGTATATTATATAGATGTCTTCAAAATATAAACCTCTACCTCATTAACGTGAACTGACATATCTTTGCACCATACACAATATTATGAATTCATAAAACATAAACATGTTTTCTTGGAACTATTTCCTTACAGTAGCTGAAAAAAAAATACTATCCTTCATTTGAAAAATTAAATTATGTCTAAGCTCATTTTGTATACTTCTAAATGATTTGACAAATGCGATCATTAAATGTATAAAGGAGATTCTTAATTAAGAAATGTTAAACTTCGAACTTAATCCTTATAATTACGATGTTGTTCTATCAAATTCTTATGGAATTGGTTGGGCGTGTCTTGTTATAGCAATTGGATACGAATATTCAATCCGAAGTGCACGTGTATTAACAAATAGCATCCAGAGGCGGTATACTGATGTTTTGGGTTTTGTTTTGTCATTCATGCCTGGCAAAGTAATAGAAAACTTCACATACATACTAACCTCCTATAATAAAATACGTTGGATTTGTCAAACAAGTCATATTTTTGCTATTTATAAATCAGAACGATGACTCCGAAATTTCATTATCCAATTCACATGCAAATATTAAAGAGTTTATGAAACAGACTCATAACAGTATCAAACTCGTGAATGATTTGCTATAGATTTTGAAGACATTCTTAACGCACTTGACTTTCTCATCTGGTGGCGCTATTTGTTAGGAATATCTACAACATACGCTACGATAAACAGAAAGTAATAAATATTTTCTGACCAAAATCATATTAGAGTGAAAAACGTAACTCCCATCACTTTAACTGTAATTAGCTTGTTCGTTTGATTTAAATGGACCTAAAAAAAAAGCTATTTCTAATACAATATTTTTCCCGAAAGGGGGCCAAAGGCCGTCTGGTGGGGGTCGCCTGTTTTAACCATTCACACCACTACACAATAGTGTTATTTCGATGACGAGGAACCCACTTTGAGACTAATAATGGCTGGAGACGGCTTGAATGGGTAATGAAAA